GAGCGCAGATCCACTGAGCGCTCAACACAGACAGCACCGTCAGAAGGAAAGTTGATAAAATAAATTAAAAATTTTGTATTGTTCGATACATATGCGTACTGAACCGAAAGCACTGTATCGAACGGTTCGATATCGATACCAGTATCGTTGCACCCCTAGCTGACAGCCCTACTTATAATAGAAAGCACATTGTGGCCACTGATTTGAGTCCATAAAAATAAAATTGAATTGAATTCACATTCTTTTGACAGCTTTTATTGTAAAAACTTAAAGTTACGTTTTAAAAATGTAAAATAAACTTAACAGCCAGTTTGACCATTCAGACATTTTACACTGCAAATCACCAAAACTATTTCCAGTAAACAGCTTTTCCTTGTGTTCCATTTTAATTTAATCTAATAAACAGATACAATTTAAAAGAAAATTAAATACAGAAAAATAATATTCTTGCACAGAAGCTTCCTCATAGATCCCAAACCAGATGTGGAGGTTATTTTTGAGACTGTTGCCTATTATTTGCTGGGCTGTTACTTCTTCACACTTTCAATTATGTGTTTGTCCTTCTTTCCTTTTTTCTGTTAGGTTGCAATTTAATATTTTATTTTTTAGATTTCTTCAGACTCTTATATTGTGCAAAAGTCTTGAATGACCCCAAATTTCTCTATATTTTGCTACATGGAGGCCAGAACTTCACCTAGTTTCTTTAGGTGCTGTCCAGGCTTTATGAAGGCATTTCAAAGTCATTTTTTGGACAGTGGCTACTTGTCCAAGATTTTTCGTAGATCACACATTGCAAACTCAGCATTTTTAGCAGCTTCCTCGGTAGCTAGTAAAGTAAGAACACAACGTAGTTGGTAACTCACCTGTTCCATAAGTCATCATCCTCTCCACCCCAACCCCAAAATGCATTGGGAAAACCATTAATCTTCCAGAACTGATCCACAGTGAGCCCACTCACACCACCAAAGAACTCACTATATGGAAGACTGAAAACAACAAAAGAACAGATGTTTAATAACAATCAGAAACTTTCTAGTTGGTTAATAATTCCAGGTCAGTTGCAATTAAATTATCCTACCAGTCTGGTAAATTTTCCACACACTCACATGTACATGTATTTGTCCAGCTTGGCAGCAAAGTGGCGGGGCATCTGACCACAACCATAGTAGTTTCTGTCATTTTCAGGGATATGGTCAACATCATGGAAAATCAAGCAGTCCCAGTCCAAGTCCTTCATAGCTTCCATGAATCCCACATTAAATAACATGGCTCTGTTGAATGGCTGGCTTCCACTCTAAAAAGTACACATTTCTGATGAGCATGGTGCAGTTTTTTATTTTTTGCCAATAACAACAATTCAGTATAGTAAACTACATTAGCTCTTATTTAAAGCAAGCACACTGAATTACAAATGAGATCTGAAACAATGCAATTAGCAAATTGCATAGCTCACAGTAAAACAATAATTTTAACATGTGAACTAGGCAAAAAACACCATCAGTCCTAACTACATGTAACTTTTGCACTACATCAGACAAGTTATTGCAGACAGTACATTTGGTTTTATAATAGATATAAACGTAACAACTGATTATTTTCATCTCACTTGTACTTAAACTACTGTGAGGATGGATGCATGGATTTTAGCAGTATTTATAATCTAGTTGGGGTTTTTTTGTTTTTGTTTTGTTTTGGTTTTTTTTTGGGGGGGGGGGGGTCTCCCATGGCAAATTGGTCCTGGGTCAGGGACCACACAAAGAGCAGTTCATGAGAAGAAGTAGTAGTATAGCTGGTACTGATGAGGAAAAAAGCAAAGAAGATGTCTGGTGTATCCTCTGGAGCAAAAGGGTGCTCTCCGATGCAACCACGGCAGCACTTAGGTAATGCTTACTTCTTGGATAGAACGGAGAGCAATCTACGGTAAGCCTCCAGACGTTGTATTGAAAAATGCAGATGAACGGTTAGCAGCTTGCCATCCTGTTTCACATGGAAGCAAACAGGGGTAACTCTAAATGGAAGCATGGGTGTACTAGACCATATTTATTTCACAAGCTTTCCAAACATTTTTTTAGATTGAAAGTGATATAATATAAAAATACTGTGTTAATTAAATTGCATTAATATTTAAAACTATGAAAATACAACTTTCTTCACAGACCAACAAAAATGCACATGGGCCAGTAAAACTTTGAGACACTGCCCAGAGGGTTTTTAGGCTGGACACTAAATTATTATTAATATTAAATAACATCTAGACCATTATAATGTCTTGCATAAAAACTTCAGAATACTGATGCTCACTTTTCTTCACTGCAGCCACAACACACCTTTAAATGCTTACAGACACAAACTGACTCATTCACTAGCACACTTAAACAAATCTACCAGGAGATAAAACACTGTCAGAACACTTTTTGCCTTCTATTGAAGTAAGTCTTCCAAGAAGACAGAGTAAAGGTACATTTCTTTATGCCTTAGTTTATGCCTTACTTTATGCCATATCTAAACGACTTCACCTCTCAGGAGGATTGTAAAGAAGACCTGGACAGTTTGCAGCAATTTATTGACGAGGTAACAAGGCACTGACTCCCTCCAGCAGCAAAGGAACAGCGTCCTCGAATTGAAGCCCCCCTGAAAACTCACCAGAACCAGCTTCTCCACCAAATGGCGACATGGTGGACATTTTGGTGTCCATAGACAAAAAAAACCAAACAAAACAGTCCAACTTTGACGCACGCTTGGCATTCCTGGAAATCCTGCATAAAGATTTTTAGACGCTGCACGTGGAGTTCTGCCAGCAGCAGGTTTATCACTACCAAAACAACACGGCATGGCTGTATTGAGTCAGCTGATCTGTATCTACACATACGTCTCTTTCTACTTTCACATAATAGACATGTCTATAGGACAATTACTAGGGGTGGGCTTTTACCCGAAACACCAGAATCTCAGCTTAAAGCTTACAAAACTATTTCGACAAGCACTAAACAGCAAAAACAGCAAACGATTAAAGAGCAGGTAAACAGATTCTGCAAACAGATGTAAAAACAACTGTTGGGTCACGTACGTGGACATTGCTGTCGGCCAATGTTATTTTTGGACGACAGCACTGTGTGTTCTTTTACACAATTTGTGTTCTTTTACACATTATACAAGACAAAAGCTGTTCCAAATGGGCATCACACCTTCAAAAATCTGCACCTATTGCAAAGATAAATCTGCTGAGAACTATATCCATGCTATATGGTCCTGCACACCTGCCCAGAGGTTCTGGCAGAAGATATGTGAAAACGTATCCAAATGGTTTAGTTGGTGTATCCCAACCTCACACAAACTGTGCATTTAGGTCAGTGTTTCCCAAACACTGTGCTGTGGCACATAGGTGTGCCGTGAGAAATAATCAGGTGTGCCGTGGAAGATTATCTGGTTCCCCCTGATTAGTACTCTAAGCAATCGGCATGAGTAACGGGCAAAACAATTAAATTCTCTTCCACTAGAGGGCAGTACACCTACCTGCTCTAATTAAATGATTCGCCAACTGTCAGTAAAACAAAAGAAGACGAAGAAGAATTTGCTTAATAGTCATGGTGTGAGACGATGCAGCGCAAAATAGCAATAGATAAATATTTGCAAAGAAACAGTAGTCAATTTGAAATGGGTCATGGAGAAAATTCTGGCCCAGATGAAGGCCCTAGCTAGCACAACTAGTGGTCAGAAGAAAGCAAAAATGGTATACTGGGGACAAACCGAGCCAATTCAGCGATACCTGGTGCGCAGGGAAACATTATCAATATGCTTTTTGCCACATTTTGGTTTGGTGGTGTGTCATGTGATTTTTCTAATGTGAAATATGTGCCTTGGCTCCAAAAGGTTGGGAAACACTGATCTATGTGACATGCTCCCTTATTTTCAGTTTTAGCAAAGCAGGCCTATTTCCAAGCTGCCTTTACTTTCCAAGGTTTTAGAGAAGATTGTTTTTAGTCAACTGTAAGATTTCTAGATGATAATGGCATCTTTACAGTTTTTCGGTGAGGTTTTAAAACCCTTCATAGCAAAGAATCTGCATTATTAAGAGTTTTTAATGACATCCTTCTGGCATGTGATTCTGGTAACCATGTTGTCCTTGTCTTGCTTGACCTAACTGCTGCTTTTGACACTGTAGACCACAATATTCTAATTTCTCGATTAAGTGATGTAGTAGGTATTGGTGGCACTGCACTCAATTGGTTTAAGTCTTATTTGTCAGATTGAACTTTCTCTGTCAGCCTTCTTGGTTCTGAATCGTCCTCTGCTCCTCTGTCATGTGGCGTCCCACAGGGCTCAATTTTAGGGCCACTACTGTATTTATTGCCTCTGGGTTCTATCCTTAGAATGCATGGGATCACATTTCATCATTATGCCGATGACTGCCAAATTTATTTGCCACTGGACCCAGTGGTCCCTGTGAGTCCTCCTCTGCAGATTTGGGACCTCTGGAAGTTTATTTTAAAACTGTTGTTACTGATCTTGGTTTTAAGTTGGACAGTGGTTTTAAATTGGACAACCAAATCAGAGCAGTGGTGAAGTCCAGTTTTTATCATTTAAGGTGACTGGCAAGAGCAAAATCTTTTCTTTCGAGGCAATAGTGTTGAAATAGTGATCCATGCTTTTATTTCTTCCCGCCTGGACTACTGTAACGCGCTTTATGTGGGGGTCAGTCAGTCGTTGCTCTCATGTCTGCAGCTGATTCAAAATGCTGCTGCACGACTCTTAACAGGAACTCGTAAAAGAGAGCATATAACCCCTGTCCTGGCCTCACTGCACTGGCTGCCTGTGTCTTTTAGAGTTCATTTTAAAATTCTTATATTTGTTTTTAAAATGCTTTCACAGTCTTGCCCCGCCTTACCTCTCTGAGCTTCTTCATCCCCACACACCCTGTTGGTCTCTCAGGTCAGCTGACCAGCTGCTCCTGGAGGTACCGAGATCCAGGAGGAAGCTCAGAGGGGACAGGGCCTTTTCTATCGTGGCTCCAAAATTATGGAATAATTTGCCCTTGCACGTTAGAGAGGCCCCTTCACTGTCCACTTTTAAATCACGTCTTAAAACCCACTTTTATTCTTTGGCTTTTAACCTCAGTGAGACTTAGTTTTCCGTTGAAATGAAAATAGTTATTTAATTAATTATTTTATTTTTTTTCTTTTTATTTGGCTTTTATTTATATCTTATGTAATTTTATTTTATGGTTCCAATGTATAGCACTTTGTGTCAGCTGTGGTTGTTTTAAAGTGCTTTATAAATAAAGGTGATTGATTGATTGATTGATTTCTTATGCATTGCTAAGAAAACTATCATTATGAACTGGATATATAAAAAGTATTAAGTAAGTATTAATCAATATAGAAATGTACTCATAGATCACATCAGTCTGGAGAGAACATCTGCTTCCTCAAAAAAAAAAGAAAAAAGAAAAAAAAGAATGAATTTGTTCCTCTCTGATCCCCACTGACCAATCCCATTACTTTGTGGGGGTGTCCGGCTGTAGTATTTCCCTGTACGCCTTGCACATGGATGAAGGTGAGTATCGGGCAGTTCTTGTGCGCCTGGAGCCCTGGGACCCTGCTTCCACCAGGGTGGCGGGCCTCTAGTGTAGTCAGCTGCCCGTGACCTCTGGTTGTCTGGGACTCCCACCCTTTGGCTGTGGGCACCCGTCCTACTCCTGCTCAGATGCATGCGCACAGATATCGCCCAGATGCATGGCCTTAGGATTTAGGTACTCTTGGGGGCTGCGGATTGCCCGGTTGTCCTTGATCTGTATCCATTTACCCCCTGCCACTCTACTTTTTTCCCCTCCCTGTTCTGCCTTAGACAGACAGAACAGGATTTTGAAAAGGAAAGAAAACATCTATTGCATATATTTATTATTATATTTGACTTAGACCTTTGACTGTACTTTATTTATATATTTTTGCATTTAAGAAAATGTTTTCTTTAAAAAAAAAAATGATATGGAACAATCAAGGAGTTTACTTTTTCTGGCAGATGTATGCAGTTAAACATTGCAATTTCTAAAATGGAAACTACTTTAGAAAACATTTAACCCAACAAAGTTTAACCCAACCAGGAAAGTTCACTTTGAAAGACTTTTGAATATTTATTGTTGCTATTTCGATTACTACAATCAAAAGTTGCAGTCCTAGTATCAAGAATGTCATGTGGTAATGGTGCATCCCTACAACTGGTTTTCATTGGGAGCTATTCCTTGGAAAATGCTTTTTGCACATGCTGAGCTCAGAAGAATCACATTCAGTTGAATAATAACCGTATACGCTTCAGTGCAATTAACAGACAACTCACTGTACCTGCTCAATGACGTAGAAGCCAAAATGCAGTCGCTGCCTCTGAAGCATAGGGATAAGGTGTTGGAAAAGGATGGGAAGATGTTCATGGCGATTTCTAAATGGAATAAGGATGGCCACCTATAGATGTCAGAGTAAGAATCAGCACAACAATGTGCAGTTATTAACTGAAGTTATTAACTGAACTGACAAATATTCTCAGTAATAGTTTCTCACTACTCATTTCCTCTTTCACCCCACCAAGTTTGTGGCAGATGCCTGCCCACCTTGAGTTTAGATCTTTCAGAGTTTTCCTTCTGTTAATTGGGAGTTTTTATTGCCTGTTATCAACAAATGCTTCCTTGCAGGAAAATCATTAGGATTATATCTATAGTAGAATAAGGTATTAGCATGCATAACATGGATCTTGATACCATCTTTACTTTTATTCTCTGTGAGAGTAAAATATTTCTTTGGTTATGTGACATGAACAACCACAAGAGTATTTACTAATAGTAACATACAAAGCAGGAATAACAATCTCTCGTGCCATGTAAAGAACATGCAGGATTTTGCACAGTTTGAACAAAAATTAATTTTACTGTCACTGATTTGCTGTTCATCGACTGAATGTTTTATTCCTTAATCTAATTCAATTCAATTTAATTCAATTCAATTTAATTTAATAGGAAAACACTTTCAATAGAGTCAAATAAGGCATCATAGACACTTCACATGCTTACTGTTGTATATAGCCCACTTTAAGCAAAGAAAACTATCTGGACAAATTTGGAAATGGAAGAATTGGTGATCATTTTGGCTAAATATACCACCGCAACTGATGCGAATCAAAAAATTATCCAAAGCCAAAAGAAAAGCAGACTTCCAGCTTCCAACAGCCAGTCAAGACACTAAATTTATTTTTGAAAATTACATTTTAATATGCCACATAAGCACAATCAAAAGGTTTGTTTTTTGTGACACATGCTGGATTCACTTATTTGTCATTAATGCCTTTCTTTCCGAATTACTCGATTAATCAATGAAATAGTCGATAGATTATTTGATTACTACAATCATCTATAGCTGCAGTTTCGCCAGAAGCCATACCAGCCAATACAAATGTTTTAGTACGTTTCATCATTAGTCTTTACAATATACAATTACGAGACTTGTAAAACCCACCTTCCAGCGAGGTCTACAGTCCTTTGGTTTCCACTGGCCTCCAAACTCGACGCCAAAAAACTTGGAGAACTTCATTTCTATCACCTCCATAGGGACCTCTGTCATATTTACTTCCATAAGGCCCTCTGAGGAGATTATTTTTAAGCGGGAGGTTATTCCACAAATATACTTGGAATGAAAAACTAAAAAAAAGAAAGAAAACTACAACAAAATATTTTTTTCCCCTTTCCCCCCCAAAATCTTACTGAGCCACTTTAACACTTATCTTCTGATATCAATGTACTCACTCATAGAAGGTAATCGTTCTGGGCAAGGGAGGTTCTGAGCGTAGGTAAAGTTCTCAGGGAGGTAAGTAGTTGGTTGGGCCAGGTATTCACTGGAGTTAGTGCCATCAGGATAATCTGTAGTATAAACAACCAAAATAAGGTACAACTTTATCCCAGCTACATAGTAATATGGCCCCCAACGCAAATGCTAAATGCGTCGGAGTAGTACCCTTTCACTGGCTCACTGATATACTTCATGTTCCAGTGAAGAAGTAAAAGCACTACTATGAACAACAATGACTGAGGCAATCGCAACCGGTTGCTGTTGTACAATTGTTATCCAGTACTACAAGTTTACTACCTCTTCTGTACTAAATGTGATTAGTGTTGCTTGTGTGACTCAATGAAACAGAGCAATACAATAGAATAGTTCGGCATCTTTCCTAGTCTTACTGGGGATTTTGCTACCGAGCTTTACACTACAGGCCGCAGTCACCTTGTTCTACACATAATCTGGTATAACTCTCAAACGCACACAGTAAAGCAGATAACTCATAAGTTGTAGAGAAAATGGCATATCACAATTTTAGAAGATCATCATTTAGCCTGAAGAAATACTTTTGCTCCATTATAAGGAAGCCCTCTTTAAAGCTCGAACCTTATACTATTCATCATTGATAGCCAGGCTGACAAAAAGTCAGAGCGCTGTTGAGCCAACCATCCCTTTAACATTAACTAGTAATGACTTAATTAACTTCTTCACAAATAAACTTCCAGCCATTACAGGAAAAAAAAAATACTCATAATCATTTCACAGATGTAACATTATCTTACAGCTACTTTCAGTACCATTGATATTTATTTACTCTTTTTCTCCAGTTGATCTTTCTGACCATCAACATGTCTTTTAGACCCCATTCCTACAAGACTGCTCAAATAAGTCCAACCATTAATTAATGCTTCAATCTCTATTAATCGTCTATGTATCACAGGCCTTCAAGCTGGCAGTAGTTAAACCATTACTTAAACTATCTCTTGACCCAGCAGTCTTAGCTAATTATAGGCCAATCTCCAACCTTCCTTTCATTTCAAAAATACTTGAAAGAGTAGTTGTCAAACAGCTAACAGATGATCTGCAGAAGAATGGCGACCAAAATCTATCTCAGCCCCACCCGTCGGGTTATCATATAGCCCGACGGGCGGGGCTGAGATAGATTTTGGTCGCCCGACCGGAGATATCGCTAGCTCCAGGATGTCGGGCTAGCGATTTTGCAAGCCCTGAGCGGTTTGTGTCATATCTATCTAATAGATTCCAATTTGTTCATTTTAAATGGAGAGTCCTACTAACACACTAAGATTAATTATAGAGTTTCACAGGGTTCAGTTCTAGGACAAATTCTGTTTACATTATACATGCTTCCATTAGGCAGTATCATCAGTAGGCATAGCATACATTTTCACTACTTTCACTACTATGCAGATGACACCCAACTTTATCCATCCATTAAGCCAGATAACACACACCAATTAGTTTAACTGCAGGGATGTCTTAAAGACATAAAGACCAGGATGAACTCTAATGTTCTGCTTCTTGATTCAGATAAAACTGAGGTTAGAAAGTCATCATCAAAGATGATAACCCAAGCAAACCAATCACTGCTGCTGCTCTAGACCCACGATTATCTAGACCCACAAATAAAATAAAAACTTTTGCCCTGCATTCAATGGATGCGAATATGAAAAACAAGATTGATGAAGCTACAACCTACAATCTACAATCAGGTGATAGGAGACCTGATGAGCTCTTGAATCACTCTTGAATGGATGTGATTCAACAAAAAGCTAGAACAATTAACAGGATTCACACAATCAGTTGATAATTAATGAAGTATGATTTTTTTAATTGAAGTATTAGTGGTGCATATTAATGAACATTTAAAAATCAAATTTAACATGTCATATTTAGCCATCAGGTTAATTTTCATCTGTTGTACCATGGCAGGTGCTAATCAGATTCAAATTAATGTTTCATGGGTGATTACTTTAGTTTGCTGTGGGAAGAGACAATAAGGTTATTTTAACAGGTGGGCAGACTTGAAAGGTGAGATAAAGTATATACTGGAGCCTAGAATAGGACTAATCGACTGATCAAAAAAAAAAAAAAAAAAAAATCAACAAGATTACTTTGGAACCAAAATAATTTTTAGTTGCAGGCGTGGCTGTAGCTCAGGAGAGCAGGCCATCTACAAATCAGAAGCTTGGTTTTGGGCCCCGATGGCTCCAGGCTGACAAAAGCTCTTGTGACCAAGCATTCCTTAAGGTTAACTAGTAATGACTTTGTGAATTTCTTTACAAATAAAATAGTAACCATTAGAAAAAACAAATACTCATAACCATCTCACAGACGTAACATTATCTAGAGCTACTTTCAATATCATTGATATTTATTTAGACTCCTTTTCTCCAATTGGTCTTTCTGAGTTAACTTCAGTAATTACTTCCTCCAAACCATCAACGTGTCTTTTAGACCCCATTCCTACAAGACTGCTCAAAAAAGTCCTACCATTACTTAAATTTTAAATATACCAGGTATTAGGGCTGGGCCATATCATACCGCTGACGGTAATACCAGTATAACGTTAGGCAATGATAAGAAAATGAAATATCGTGACAGAATATGGTTAAAACGCACATAAGAAGTGCCTTTGTTTTTATACGCACATGGCGGAAAAAGCATGGCGGCAACGAAGAATGAGAAGGGTGAAAGCGGATTGTTGAATGAAACAGACGAACCAGAACTGGATTGTAAAAATGGTGCAACTTCAGTGGTGTGGAACTGGTTTGGCTTTCGCCCGTCAGATACACACCAAAGCACCGCTTGATGGATTGTCGGAGCATTACGGCTACTGTAGGCAGGAGCCTCGCGGAGTGATACGTACTGTGCTTCAACATAATATTACCGTATTGTGTGTGTATAACCTCTTTTTAAGTTTTGTGGATATTATAAATGGTTATGAGGATCAGGATATGTCGGCCAATGTTTTAATGTCAATTATATTGTCAGTTATATCCTTATCGCAAATTTTCAAATATATATCATGATAAATATTTTTGGCCATATTGCCCTGCCCTACCAGGTATATCTTGGCATCACTTGTCACCTTATAAGTGATGATTATGAGTTCTTTAGCTTTTGCCTCACCACCATGCCAGCTGAACAATGACACACTAGTGGCCCACAGCTACAATCTTAAATATAATCAACCGATCTATATTAATCAGCTATGTACAACAGGCCATCAAGCTGGCAGTAGTTAAACTGTTACTGGAAAAGCCATCACTTGACCCAGATGTCTGCTAATTAAGCCCCTTTTCCACTAGTACCTATTTGGATTGACTCGCCATGGATCGCCACAACTTCACTCGGATCAACTGGTTTTCCGTTATAATCCAGTACTACCTAACGTGCATGGCTTTTGTCATTGCAATGTCCCACGATGTAAATAATATGCGACACGAAGGCTACAAAAAAGGTGGAGGTTGAGGAAAGAATATACCTCTTGATATACCTGCTTGATCTGTTGTTTTTTGTCAAATTTGGGGATCATGGCGTTGTTTTTTGCAGCCTTTTCCCTCGTTGCCGGGTTTTAATGACAGTTTGAATTTTCGTCAACGAGACGCTCTGATGACTCATCAAGTGATGCTAATGACCAGCCAATCGTCTGACGACATCAGATTTTAGTACCTGCTTGGATCGCTTGGAACCCCAGGCAAGCAGGTACTAAAAAGTAAGTGACCTAATGGAAAACCCTGAAAACTGTGGCTAACCATGCCAAGTCGAGCAAAATATGTACTAATGGAAAAAGGGCTTTATAGGCTATTCTCCAGCATTCCTTTTATTGCAAAAACTCTTGAAATGGTAAAACATGGTCGTAAAACAACTAACTGATCATCAGCAAAGCAATGGGTTATTTGAAGAGTCTGTTAGGTTTTAGAGGTCATCACAGTGCAGAAACAGCTTTAGTGAAGGTTACAAAAGGTTTTATGGTCTCTGAGAGCAGACTCATAGTAGCATAGCAGTGCAGAGTTCAATAATGTTGACCGTAATATTTTATTACAGTGATTAGATCATAGTGTTACGTTGCTGCAGTGCTTGACTCAAATCTATCTAACAGACTGTAGTTTGTTCATGTAAATGGAGGGTACTCTTCACACACTATGGTTAATTATGGGTTTCCACAGGGTTCAGTGCCAGGACAAATTCTATTTATTACATGATTCCCTAAGCATACATTTTTCACTGCTATGCAGATGAAACCCAAACTTATCCATCCATGAAGCCAAATTTAAAACACCAAATAATGAACTACAGGAATGTCTTAAAGACATAAAGACCCTGATGATCTCCAATTTAATATTACAAAAATAACACAGGTTAACACAAAATTCAGTTTCAAACTGAAGGCGTTTAGTATTAAGGGAAAAACAGACAAAACCTAAATGGCTCTGTGTGGAAAACGTGATTGCTTTCCCCTGTTCTAACATAAATTATCTGTGGTGTATCACATCTTTGGAAAGCTGAGTTCAATTTCTCTAGCTACACTGAGGCCTGATTACTGCCACACTCGTTGTCAATCAAGAAAGTTTTACAAGGTTATTGAGTTACTTCTAAAACTGTGGAACTCAACATGTAGTTCCAAGAAGTGGATAGAAAAATCCTGCTTATGTACCAGCCATGGATCAGCCAAGAATTGGGCAAGGATCTGTTAAAGTCCTGTCACAGTCACAGACCACCCAGCAATTTTAAGTGGCTATGTCTGTACAGTCAGCATTATGCAGACAATTGCTCTAAACTCTTTAAACTATATACTGATTTTTGACATGTCATTTCTTGGCTAGATACAAAGTCAAAGTAAGCACTTATACAACCCACCTGTCCCATTAAGAGTACTGTTCTTGTTTGTATACAATCTGATCATCTGGCCGATGGTCCTCACATTGTCCCTCAACATGATGCCTTGAGCCTGCACCATGAAGAAGTATGTGTTGGCTGATGGAAAGAGCAGACATATAGAATTTAGTGTTATTGACTTAGTGAATTACATAAATTCAAAAAAAGTACACATTCAAACTTTTAAATACTATTACCATCTAGTAAATCTTTGCTTTCACTTTTCTTGGTATCCTTTCTTGCTATCGCCCACCTCTTACCTCCAGAGCATACTTCCACCTCTCCAGACTCTCATTCTCACTACAGATCATGTTCTCTGCAAACATCATAGTCTATGGAGACTCACACCTGACCTAATCTGTCAGCCTGTCCATTACGAAGTCTAATAAGAAGGAACTTAGATCACTGATGAAATCCCCCCTCCTCCACCATATATGTCTGCATAGGTTCTCAGTCATCCAAGTCATGGTAGTCTAAGGAGCTTTGAAAGAAAGCCACTGGACTTCTTTAAGATGTTTCACTTCTTATCCAAGAAGCTTCTTCAGTTCTAAAACTACATGGTGAAGAGTCCCAGAAATCCCTAATGGAAGTTGTAATAATATAGTAGTAATATAGTCAGTAAACCTTTGGGTAGTTATGGTAGTTCTGGTCAAGTCCTACTGAAAAAGGAAATCACCATCTTAATAAAATTTGTCAGCAGATGGACACATGAAGTCTAAAATCTCCTGATAGCTCTACTTTTCTTCCAGATTCCATTACCTTGATTTCCAAATCAAACACAAAATACACTTTTATCTTAAAAAATGACTTTGGATCACTGAGCAACAGTCCACTTTGTGAGTGAGATACTTCTGATATCATCTGTTTCAGGAGTGGCTTGATATTAACAGTGTGATAACTGAAGCCCCTTTCCTGAAGACGTTTGAATGCAGAGAAATGAGTGAGAAGATCACCTTTCACTCAATCGGAAGTTGGCGTCAAAAGTCTTACCTATGATTTTGCTTTTTTCTATTGAGCAATTATTAGAGTAATACACAGAATTTATAAAATCTAGAAATGTATTCACATTTGAAATAAAATATTCTAATAACAATAATAATAATAATAATAACAATAATAACAATAATAATAATAATAATAATCTGAGATATTGGATTTCTGATTTGCATGAATAATAACCCAAAATAAAAAAAATTATATAATAAAATTTATATAAAATTATAAAAAAAATATTTAAAAAAATGATATTTTTATGCAATAGACAAGGAGTGCCTCCTTGTTCAACAACAACAACAACAAGTTCTATTGTAAGATATCAGCAGAGTCAGAATTAAACATGTAACATTAAAAGTAAACATTTTAGGGTAGTAGCTATCGATTAATAAAGTTCATATTCTATAGATCAGTGGTTCTCTACCTGGCTTTTGGACCCACCATCACCTTCATATGACAAACTACGACCCCAAATTTTCCAACATTAAATTTTTTGAATGACAATGTTATGCAGTTTGAACTGCACAGTATTACCAAACAGATCTGCAAGAGGCGAACTGTTCTACACCAAAAAGACCGCTATTTCCGATCGTAGTTCATAAAAACGGGACAGCACCTTTCCCCACCAAAACCAGCATACCTCTGCATGATACAAGAGCTGCACATGCTCACTGCCAACATCTTGGCACAGTTTTAAAAACATCTTAAGCTCCATTTAATGTAGTGCACTTGGAGGACATCTTTTAATGTCTCTGGAAGCTCGGGAACCATATCCTTTGTTGCCAGGGCCTGCTGATGCAGAAAACAATGGTTCCGAGTTGCATTTGGACCTTCCTCAAGGATTCTCCTTATGACCCCAAGATTTTTTCTGTTATGGAGGCAGCACCATCACTTGTGATACTGGCACACAAATGGGGCTTCTTTAACTTTGCAATGTCGTGTGCCACCAGGTTAGATGCATTGAGAGCCTGTTCATGCTTCAAGCATGAAGATTTGAGTCTGATATAATCAGACATGAAAGACCTTTGTCTTATTGATGAGCATGAACAAATATTCAAAAGAAAAAAAAACAGATCTTTTAAAATAAACAATATTTTATATCCTGGATAAAACTGGTGTGTGTTTATGTGTATGACTGTCAGCAGGTGTCATTGCGGCTGTCGTTGGCCTTCAGCTAATTTAAACATGGTATCAGATGAATCGGTATCAGTTGATCTGCATATTTTAATCCAACTTATGTAGCTTTACTGTAGATCTTCCCTGTGTAAAACTAAACGTGGTGGACAGGAGCAGCTACAAATTCGCTTTTTTAAATTTTACATTTGATGAAGGCCTACCACTAGCTGTCTTCAGTAAACTTTAATGGTGATTACAGTACCACTGTTTTGGACCCTAAAAAAATGTTTTATTTCACTCCACTTGAGCTCAAGGTCTCAATACCTGCTTCACCTCTTTACTCTTCATGATGTGTATGTGTGTAGACACAATCTGACATGTTAAACATCATCTTCATTGTGTTGTCAAAAACAAACAAAAACACAACAAACAGAGGGATGCATTGGCTTAATGTTGTCATACTTTGCAGCCTCCAAATCACTGAGTGATCTGAAACTGGCATTGGGTATTGAACTTCAGTTCAAGTGACATTTTGACCATCTCATACTGAATGTACGTATTCATAAGAATCAACCTACTAGTAGTTACTTTTAAACCATAAACCACATTTATATTTTAGATAAAATAACCAGTAATATAGTTAATTGTGCACATGTGCTCTAGGTGGCTAGCATAACATACCTGGAGCAATGCCAGATGGACTACAAGGTAGGCAGTCAAAAACGACATTTCTCAGACTGAATATGATGGACATTCACTAAACGTTTCCACAGAATACTTGTGTTTCTGCCTTTACAAACAAATGACCTGTTGCATTTGAGGCAATAAGCACTGTCAGCACTGACTCCAGCTAAGCACAACCAAACTTTTGAACATTTAATTCTCTCCACCATCCTCACAAAGACCAGGGTCTGCGGGTGTGTGTGAGACAGAGCTGTGCCACACCCGCCCCTCACATGCAGGCTCTTTTATGCTGACAACTTGTTGGTTGTTGATACTTTGGGTCTTCAATAATTTAGCCCATTCCCTAGTCAACACAGTAGTTGTATTTAAAGCAAGCTGTAGTAAAAAACAATTAAAGCGGGGGCAAAATATAATTTCTTATCAGATTACTCAATCAATTGCATAATTGATAGAATACTATATTACTAAAATAGTCAATAGATGTAGCCCTACTACAGAGCAAGTTCAAAATATCCAGGATCTCTTTTCCTTAACTGGCTTAGGCTATGCCAACAGAAGTGGTTATCAACTTGTCCGCAAAGGGGGTTGCCAGCTTAGTAAGTTAAGTAAGGGTTTCTCAATCTAGGTGTGAGCATGCTAGCATGAAAGGGGTGGTGCTGGTACTAGTCAGATACATAAAAGGACTGGAAATATGCTACTAAATTGATTAAGTCTGGAATCTGCCTTCATTCAAAAGTAGATCTAAACAGAATATTGAAATAAGTTTTTTCAGGTAAGGCAGTTTTGGAAAGTCTTAAGCCATAATTGCTCAAATGCTGGGATAAAATATGATCAGTTTAACAAACATTACAACACAGTTCCAGAATTCAGCGCCCATACCTAACAATACTTTTTTCAATTTCACCAAAATAACACTATGTGCAAAATAAATAGATAAAATAATACAAATAAAATCATAATCATTCCATCCCATTCATAAACTAGCAATGTAGTGACAATTAGTGTCAAAACATTACCCTCTTGTGCGTATTTTATTATTTCAATGTTTTAATTCAATAGTCAATAGACACATTTGACTGATTAACATAGCAAAATTACTAAGTCCAAATAAACCTAAGAGCCTGGTATCACACTTGAAACAGTGAGCCTGTTAGCGACCTTGTTTACCGTTAGTATCAACTACAACAGCAGCAGATGGTTAAGGTGCAGAGGGTATTTCAAACGTAATTGAATTAACTGTTACCGTCTTAGGTAGTTAGCGTAAACTGCTGATTACTAACCTATTCCGGGAGCCACGTAAATGAAGTAGAGACAAGTGGTGGACATGGAGAAGATGAATATGAAGGCCAAAAATGATCGGTTGGACATTCGCAGCAGCCGCCTCCAGTTCACCATTTTAGCTTATGCCCGCTTCTCTCTTCGCCGATAAGAATCCCATAAAAATACTTTTTGAAGTTAAATGTTCCTCCAGTTGGTAGATGTCAATGCACAGGTGTGGCCAGAGGAAAAAACTGCACTATCAAAACCTACAGGTGCAGTGCGGAAAAGGCTAACGCTAGCAGTGCTAGCTGGCCTGCTCTCACCTGGCAAGAAATTTCGAGATGGTAAAAGCAGGCCTGTAACGTTACTATCAGGCTACTGTGAGCTTCCAGCTGTACCAGCAGCCGGGCATTGTGAAAGAGTTCCACGACCGACTTAGTGGCAGCAGTAGTTAAGGGATTTCATGGTACTGGCCCATAGTTAGAGTGTCGCCAGCGAGAACTTTTATCGCTAGCAGCTGAAGATGGTCATTGAGGGGGGCAGGACCGCTCTGCCTTCTCCATCAGTCTGCTCTCAGCCGGTGCAACGTTTTCCACACAGTCGGCACCCTGTTTCATCAAATCAAGCTGATAAGCCTATTCATTCCACAAACTGTCGACACTGTGATTTCGCACGGCTGGGGCATTCAACACTACTAAGTGCAGAATGATTTGAAAAATAAACTCACGAAAAAAGAAAAGTAATACTTCCGATTCATTTTCTGCTGGCACTGCACTGTTTCCGGGGGGTGTACTCCTCCACATTTCCATGAAAACCAGTGAGCGTGACGTCTCTGTGTCGGTTCTCAATCATCCAGGCCATAAGAATAAGAAATAATAAGAATAACTATTGATCTCAGAGGAAAAAATCATATATCTGCTAATTGTATGAGAATTGGAAAGCCTGATGGCTGTGGGGCGAATCATTTTCTGTATTTCTCCGTTTGACAACAAAAAGACGGGAGACTTCCAGTATTGATTGGGGGGGGGGGGGTGTTTCGTCTATGAAGATGTTATAAATTGGGTTATTGGAGTTGTTCAGGATGGCATCAACTGTCTAGTTTGTTATCTAGGTGTAAACGTAGATATTTATACTTGTTGCTGCTCAGAACTTTCATTTCCTTCGTCTTAGAGGTGTTCAATATAATAGCAGTTTTTGTGACTCCAGTCACTGGAAGCTTTTACAAGATCCCTGTATTTAGATTCTGTCTATTCCTGATGCATGCCACTAATGGCAGCATCATCTGAGTATTTCTGGATGTGGCAGGAGTGTGCTGTATAAAATGTGAAGAAGAAATAGACCTGGAACGGTCCCCTGTGGCGCTCCCGTACTGCTTATTAACATTCCAGAAACAAAGTTCCCCACTCTCACAAACTGTGGCTTTTCTGTCAGGTAGTCTGTGACTTAGAAAACAAAAGAAGAATCTGTTCCCATCTCTGTGAGCTCGTCTTTGAGTATATTTGGTTGAATAGTACTGAAAGCGTTTGAAAAATGAACTCTCATAAAAGTGCCAGATTCCTCCAGATGAGCTAGGGCATGATGAAGCATGTAGAGGACAGCATCATTCACTTCAATGTGTTGTTTGTATGCAGATTGCAGAGGAAGTCTGATTTTTACCTCGAGTTTCAGTTGGTGTCATAATCAGCCGCTTTAAGGTTTTTTTGACTACTGGTCTGTAGTCGTTCAGTTCAGCTGGAGACTTTTTGTACCGGCACAATACAGGATGTTCTCCACAGTGCTGGCCAGAGTACAGACATTCTGTACTTAAGTAGAAGTACAGATACTACTGTTAAACAATACTCCAGTAAAAGTAACAAAGTATTTGTTACCGTACTTAAGTAGAATTTTCAGGTATCTTTACTTTACTTGAGTTTTTCTGACAGCTTTTATTTTTACTTTTCTCTCTACATTTCTAAACAAATAGCTGTAATTTCTACTGCTTACATCGGGGGTGTCCAAACTCCGGCCAGCGGGCCAACTGCATCAGCACCATGTTTGGAATAGCAGTGGAGAAGACATAGACTCAGTGCTGCAGAAATGTGAGCAAAGAAAGCTTCTAGAAGAGTAAAGACTAGCTAGAAGAATGAAGATTCACAGAGTAAATGTGAAAATTCATCACAGAGCTCTATGCACTTGATTAACTGACCGTGAGCAAGTTTGCTAGTCTGGAGCATTCAGATCCACCCCAAAGACTGTTCAGTGCTCACAGAAACTGCACAATACCCAAGAGCTGCATCTGAGCCTCTGCAGGCCTTAAACAGCATGTTAAATGTTAACATTCATGACAGTTTAATTAGAAAAAGACAAAACACGTATGGTTGGTTTCGAAGGGCCGCCAGGAGAAAGCTTATTGTCTCTAAGAAGAACACAACAACTCAGTTGAGGTTTGCAAATTTGCCCTTGAAGGCTTCTGGAGCAACATATTTTTAAAAGATGAGACCAAAGTGGAGGTTTGGCCATAATGCACAGCAGTACCTTTAGCAAAAATCAAACACAGCACAAACACCTCAAATCCACTGTCAAGTATGTATTAAATCAAGTTCTTTGTATTCTTTAACGGCCAAAAAAGACACGGCTCAAAGTGGTCTAACTCAAAAAATGATCTTTAATTTTACATTTTCCGGAAAATGGAGACTTAGCACAGAAACGCCAGCTCAAGTCTGAAAACATTAGAAGCCAGCATGGTTATATAGTTCCGCTGCACGTCACACACACTCAGTTTACTTAGTTCCTCTTTTTTTGTGTGTCTGATTTATTAATATGCCTGTGCACTAAAACTTCCTGTGCAGCTTGCAATAACTTCCCCTTTCTGAAGTCTGTTGCCAGGGCAACCTGTCACCCTTTGTCTGAACTTAGTTTCACTCTGTCTGGTCCTCATATTCTGCAGAAACATGCCGTTTCCTGTCAGCCTGTGACCTAGTCAAGTCTGGGCCTCTCATAAAACAATCTAATCAGCAAATAAGCATTAAGAATATATATTTATTTCTTAACATATGCTGGTTCAATTGTGGTGATTTGAGCTTGTTCTGCAGACACAAGCAATAAGCACCTTGCAGTCGACGAACTCCTCTGTATGCCAAAGTTTTCTAGAGTCAAATGTGAGGCCGTCTGTCCGACAGCTAAAGCTTCTCCTAAATTAGGCCATGCAACAGGATAATGAGCCCAAACACAGCAGCAAATCTACTGCATGGAAGTCCAGACCTCAACCTGACAGAAATGCTGTGTATAAAGAAATGCTTGCACATGTCGATGAACTGAAGTTATTGCTGCTAACTGCTGGTTCTGTAAACGACTCAATCATAGAATGATTA